AGCAATTAATTGATAATCGGTACGACTCTGTTGTTAAAGGAAAAGTATGATGTACAGGGGCAAGCCACAACTAATTTGACGTGGAGAGCATATATTTTAAATTTATTTATATGTTTATAATTAATAAATGTGATCATATGTTGATGAACTTTAAGCAAAAACATCAGGTTTGTCAATTAATACTGGAAACATCCTCTTTAATCCCATAATGTCAGTAATTCTATTTTATTTAACTGTGTATCTATTTTATCTTGAGTTTTTTCCATAATTCTAAAACACAAAAACGAACGTTTACATATTGTTACTAAAAGGTTTTAAGCAAAATAAAAATACATACTTAGCATATGTGATATCATTACACAATTTTGATGCAATTCTGTGACGATTTTTTTTTTTTTTTGAATTTTTGAATGTTATAGTTTAGTTTTGTGTCTATAATATGTTCTTCACCAGTCGATACAGAGACAATTTTCATCTTCCTTAATTAATTTAATTTGAGACGCAGATTTTACTTTACGAGACCCCTGGCTTTTCCACTATCGACTATATTTTTTATTCTCTCGTACAGACTTCCCTGTGAGTTCAAAAATACAATTTTTTCAAACTGCAGCCCAAAAATTAATTCACATTTATTCTGTAATACAATTTCTTTGTTTATAAATGACATTTAAAGAAAAATAAATGTTTTTATTAATAATAACAATGTATACACACTCCTCAAAAGTGAAATCGCAATACCACGAAATAATGTGTGTACCCATATGCACACTGCAGGACCGGTAGAAGTGACAAGGAATATGCAAATGATTAAAAGAACAAAGATATGCAACAAACACCTGTTTATTCGGTAACGAATATGTCCCCACGGGCAGCTATACAGTCCGCTATACAGCGAGGCATTAATGACGCGAATAATGGTTTCCTTGCAGTGCTCATTTCGTTTACGGCATGTGTCGGTGGTCCCCGTGCACTTCACGTCGGATGAAGTGAGGTGTGAAAGGTGGGAGTTTACATAAGTGTTTTTGAACTCATAGGGAAGTCTGTACGAGAGAATAAAAAATATAATCGATAGTTGAAAAGCCAGAGGTCTTGTAAAGTAAAATCTGCTTGTAGTGTACAAGCCAAATTAATTAATTAAGGAAGATGAAAATCGTCTCTCTTTTGACTGGTTAAGAACATATAGACACAAAACTCTCACACCTCTACTCAGGGGCGGATCTACATTAAGTCCTGGGCCCCCAAGTATCAAGGGTCCACAAAAATTAAATTATCCATAAATTTTTAACACTTTCATTAACAATGAGCGTCTCTCTAGCAGTGTAGTGCTGTCTGATTTTTGACAAAACCGATCGCCATCTATTAACACATGTAGGTGCAGTAAGGAGACAACTGTATAAGTTACATTCAGATATACGAGTAGAGTTCTAAGATTCAAAAAGATGGCAGAGTCTATTCAAACGTCAACCTACCGTTCTGGGACATCAGAAAATGAATCCGAATGAATATGTCAGATCTCTCATCATTCGGCTGTTGTCCTGTTGTGGGCCAGGTGAACCCATAATAGGCATGATAAAAGAAAGACTCTCTTACTCTCTTATTCCCTAGAGTTTGAAAAAAAAAAATCAAAATTATAGTGTGTTTAATTTTCCGAATAGAATAAACACGAATAAACAGGATAACGTTATTTGAACATTCTGCGTTACTAATAAATGATATTGAATCGCATCGATTTCGTGCAACCTTACCCACCCGTAAAATATTTTTTAAGAAAATTTCATTTATATATAATTTCCTATAATTTGGTTTTCATGCTCTACGAACCTTAACCTTATAAGAATTTTGGTTTTGGTTTTTTTTTAAACCGCGTTCAATTCAAAATATATATTTTAAAAAAAGAGTCTCAGTAGATATATTCAGAGATCCTGTTTGTAACATTGAAAAGAGACTATTGTTTGCTTAACAATTTGTACTTAATGTAAAATTTGTGTTCACCAGAAATGGTTAACACGGGCGTCGTTATATATGTGATTTCAGTCGGAAAATGGTGAAAACCCCAGGGAGATACGTATGTTTTAAAACTAAACCCCCCCAGGGTTTAATCGAGAAAATACGGTAGTTTCTGAACATTTAATTTAAAAATTTTTTTATTGATTTATAAATTGATGATAAAAGTTTAAACTCAATAACTCATTAGCTTTCGTAGACACTTAGCCATATTATTTTTGGCCTGCAATTTGAAAATTATATATTCCTGTAAATTCCCACTGTCGTGCTCAGTCCGTTTGTCTGTGCCTATCTTTCCTTAATCTCGAGAACGGAGTTAGATAGATGATAGTTGAGATCAGATATAGAAACCTTAGGGGCAGGATGCCCCGATTAACTATATTTGCGTTATTTTAATTCAAAACTTTCTCCTGAAAGCAATTAATTGATAATTAATCGGTACGACTCTGTTGTTAAAGGAAAAGTATGATGTACAGGGGCAAGCCACTATTAATTTGAGGTGGAGAGTATAATATTTTAAATTAAATAAATTAAAAATATGGTTAAAAATTGCAACCAGGCTTTGTGATGATGTCAATAAAATAATTGCTCATTGATATATTAAATCATACTGTACTATTACTTCACTGTATGATTTTTGAAGTAAATGCTTAATATAAAAAAAAATTTTTATCATGTTTAAATATGAAGCATTTAGCAACTTTTTGTATTTTAGATATTGNTATTACTAGCTGTTACCCGCGACTTCGTCTGCGGAGGTTTTGCAAGCAAAGCCCATTTACATTCAATATTTCAATAACCATAGTAATTGTTATATAACACCTCCCGCTGAGAATGATGAGAATTGCCGAGAATCAAACGAACTATTTTCAATTAGATCAATTTTCTGGAACGTTTACAATCGTTCTATAATCGAACCAATATGCAATAACAAATTCGAATCTAAAACTGTTCGAACATTTTTAAAATCGAAATAGATAAAAATATTTATAACAATGTCTGAAATGTTATTAATTTAATACACTTTAGTACTCGATGAAGACTAAATCCTCTCCCTCTCCCGCCCGCGGGGGAATTTTGAAAAAATCCCGTCTTATTGTTCATTCCCATGGCATACCCTACTAAAACGCAGATAAAAACAAAAAATTGCATCTAAAATAGTGCAGTAGAAGCCGTTCTTCCGGTTAAGCTTTAACTCTCTTCCTCTCCCCCCGCGGAGGAATTTCGAAAAATTCCTTCTTAGGGTACGCCATGGAAACGCACACTAACTGTGTACCAAATTTCACCTCTTTAGGTTAAGCGGTCTGCTCTGGTCGATGATGAATCAGTGAGTGAATGAATGAGTGAGTCAGTCAGTCAGGACAAGCAACTTTATATATTTAGATTTGTTTTATTGTAATCAATATAACGTAATTGGTTGATAATGTAATTAATCATGTCGGCCAGATGGCCGAGCGGTTAATGTGGCAGTCTACCTCTCGACCCGGGATGGGTCGAGAAATTCCCAGGAATTTTTCGGGGAGTGGTCTGTCCGGATATGTCGGACCCCGTCCCTCACCACCCGGCCGCTCCATTGTGGGCCTGGCCGAACCCATAATGGGATTGATAAAGGATTGATAACGCTTAGGCCGGAAGAATTTTTTTTTTTAATATACCAACATTTAAAACACTTTTGTGTAAATAAATATTTAAATATTATATCTTACGATAATAAAACGCCACCTGGATTATATTTAATATTTGTAAGTAAAATAATTTTTNCCTCTCGACCCGGGATGGGTCGAGAAATTCCCAGGAATTTTTCGGGGAGTGGTCTGTCCGGATATGTCGGACCCCGTCCCTCACCACCCGGCCGCCCCATTGTGGGCCTGGCCGAACCCATAACGGGTCTGCTGAAAAGAGGCTCTCTTAGTGCCCACGGGGCGAAAAGAGTTTTTAAAAAAAGTATATGTAGAGCATATACAATTGACATAATACTTGGATCAATTAAACACTCGTCAGTTGACGACAAAATTACAGTAAATCGCCATCTCACGCCACATATCCTGATAAAACAATTATAAAACTTGCAAATTGCTAAATTTGAATAATTGTTATGACACACAATAAATTTTGTATATTTGAATATCGCGTGATATATCCAATGCAATAGTTGATTCTTGTACAAATATATAATTTTAATTGTTTTTGTTCTATAGGTACCAAAATGATCTTTTTTCACACTACTCGTCAATGTTTTTAGGTGCACAAGTGCCCACCAGTGGCCAAGCGGTCTTTACCATGAACACTGGGAGTTCGGTCGTGGTTTCGCGCCTCGTTCAAAAGGGCTGGCCACGTGGAATTTTCCGGGTTTTCTGCACGTTTGTAACGCGTAAATAGGGGCCAGTTTTCCTTAAAAAATACCTCCCGGAAGGCATATCGCTCAAGTGTTGCGTTGCCATAACTTAACAAACAAACAGGTATACAATGGGATGTATATCTAGTTTTTCAATGATAGTGAAGAACGGGGATGCTTTAATTATTTTTATATGAAATTTATAAGTAATTATTACTTATAACAAATATTAATCAAAACAAAAACCTGCTGTGGCTGATGACTTGTCAGTTTAATTTTTTGAAATAAATAATTACAGAGTTGAATTTTGTTAGCATTAGTAATCAATATACTATAATTATTTNGCAGTCTACCTCTCGACCCGGGATGGGTCGAGAAATTCCCAGGAATTTTTCGGGGAGTGGTCTGTCCGGATATGTCGGACCCCGTCCCTCACCACCCGGCCGCTCCATTGTGGGCCTGGCCGAACCCATAATGGGATTGATAAAGGAGGGTATCCACGGGCCGGAAGAATTTTTTTTTTAATATACCAACATTTAAAACACTTTTGTGTAAATAAATATTTAAATATTATATCTTACGATAATAAAACGCCACCTGGATTATATTTAATATTTGTAAGTAAAATAATTTTTATTAAACGGACAAAATATAATCCAGGTGGCGCCGTCGACGATTATTTCTCATTATTCGATGAGATTTCCGGACGATGTTTAAAACTTAGTTGCCATGGCAATAATACTTAGTATCGTCTGATTTCTATATCGTGTCGGTTATGGTTTTTATTGTGCTGTTACTATTATTATTTAACGAAGTCCAGTCGTACGGTGAACCTTTATACAGTTCCAATGATCCCATTTGGTTGTTAGATTCCACTAATTTCGATCAGTTCGTCTTATGTAAAGATCATTTTTGGGTGGTCGAGTTTTATAACAAATGGTGCGGTCACTGCGTCAGATTTGCGCCTACCTGGAAGGAATTTGCAAGGAGTGTTAAAGGTTTGAAGTCGATTTATTTCTTATAAACTCTTAAAATATGATATAACTTGTCAAGACTTGCTTTAATTCTATAAATGAGTACAATTTTTCCAAATTTTGTACTTTTACTCTGTTTTTTTTTTTTTCTATATGTCAACACTCCTAAATAGTGATCATATCTGATCTTGGAAATGTTTTGGTCCTGTTATGAAAGTCTTCAAAGAAATATAAAAATTGACACTATCGGATCTTAAATTGAGGTTACTTGATAATTGTGTGTTTACATTAAAGCTTGCCAACTCTTGAGAGTTAATTCTGAGAGTTTTCCATTAGAGGAGCAAGAATTTCGGGTGTCAAAATACCAGGGCTGTGGAGTCGGAGTCGGAGTCGTGGAGTTTTGGTGTTTTAGCCGGAGTCGGAGTTGGATTGGTAAGGAAAAGTCGGAGTTGGAGTCGGTATATTTTTACGCGACTCCACAGCCCTGCAAAATACTGTGTCTTATTCTTTAGTCTGTTTTAATGCGGTGACTGTTTTGCCAGGTAACTAACGGTCGAATTGTAACCGGCCTGGATCCGGGGAATCCGACCGCAGAGCTGGCACTCGTCGTTTGATATCCCTTATTTGCCTACGTAAAATGAAAAGATTTTGTTTTCAAATGCATATCTTGATATTCAACTCGTGTCATGTAATATAAAAATATGTCTGAAAATTTTATATAAATTTACAAAAATTGCTGCTCTGGTTAAATGCCCAGTTTACCTGTATGGTTGTCTGCCCCATCCGACTGTCTAATTGAGCCGAAAGTTGGTGTTGACGTGATGTGATTTCTGCCCGGTGCTCTGAATATCAAAGCGCATCTTGTCGAGCAAATATGAGAATGGTCTTGGTTAGGAGTTCAAGAATTTAAGACTTTTTTTCCAAATTCCAGTCTGGGACAGTTGGAAACTGCAGTTTAAATAGTTATAACACACAAACTGTATGAGATAATGTAGTTTTACTTATACTTCTTAAATACAATTTCATTTGTGTCCGGCAAATTATCAAAAATCATAAACGATTACGAAACATTAGGATCGTCTTCCAGTTATTTATAGTAAATCTATAAACATTATCTCTGACACTTATGATTTTATAAACATTATAAATTGTAAAAAAAGTTCATTCTTAATAGCTATTTATACAAATTTTAAAATTAATAGCAATCAATACTTCCAACAACTTAACACCTCGTTGAATAATAACGATCCACGAAAAAACCTTTTTTTACGAGTGTTATTGTCACTATTAAATTCCACAAGTAATAGTGACAATAACACTCGTAAAAAAAGGTTTTTTCGTGGATCGTTATAAATATATAACAATATATTATTCTAAAAATCTCTCTTTTTTGTTTTATTTATGATTTTTGAAATGTTTCAGTTTTGTAAATAATTATTATAACTACATAAGTAAATACATATACCCAGTGGTGATATTCAGCGGGTTCGCACAGGTTCGGCCGAACCCGTTGTTAACATTTTCAAAGTTTTCCGAACCTTGTTAAACATATGTAACATTTCTCAATGGTTTGATTCTTTTAAAAATATTAAAATATACGTATTATACTCTGTAACACTACTAAACTAGAGCCTTCCGATGCACTATTTGAGCGAAAAAAAAAATTGTTAAGGAAAAATTTTCTGTTACGAACCCTTTGTTAAATATTTCGAATGTCATCCCTGCATATACCTGTACTGTACATAACACTGTTGTAAATATTAGATGAATTAACTATAAAATAATTTTAAAACAACTAACTGTAAGTAAATTTATAAGTGTTCTATATATTTGATACTTCCTCTAAAACCTTTAGGAAATGCAATAAATAATACATATTAAAATATGATTTGCATTTATTAATTTATGATTTATAATAAAAATATAGCAAATATGTATGAAAGACTGACGTAACAACATTTAGAACAGACAGCAGATGTTTTATTGTGATTGTGCTTATTGTTTTCATATTAATTGAATGAGAAATGTTTAATATAATGTTAGTGTTCCCTATATATTTAAGTAAATAATACTTTTTGGAATGAAGCATATAATTACAGTGTAATAAAATACTAGTAAAACTTTAAACTTATATTATATAAAAAACTTTTCAAATAAAATGAAAATAACATAAATTTTAATGCATTATTATATTTATTACTTTAAAATAATTAAATGATATCAAAATACAATGAAATAATAATTCATTTTATACATTTGAGAGACTTTTTCACAAATTAATATATAATTTCTAGAAGCTAATCAAAAAGATACAAAATTAATTTTAGTATTTGAAATATATTTTAGAGAAAATATCTGTTGTAAAAATAAAATTATATTTAAAGTAACAACATTTTAAGTAAATTTTACAGTAATGAATGTGAAGATAAGCAAGTTTCTTATATTTTCAATTATACTTAGTAATTAGAATAGAAATTCAAATTGTAATACTTATAGTAACAATTCAAAACTATATATCTAAATTACTAAAGAAACAAGTTATCACTATATATTGAAAATTATACTCTATATGTCATATTATCCTCAAATAAATAAAATAAATTTAATTACAAACATTAAATATTGCAGAATAGAATTTAAAACCATCCACCATTAACAACTCATTCACTATACTTCATATTACAAATGCTTTATCATATTCATTGTCAGATACTTACACTTAATATGAAAGTGCCAGATGTTCATAATGTATGTAATGTACATATATATATATAAACCAAGATGAAATGTAAACATTATTTTATAAAATACTTTCGTTTCATAATTGCTATTTTTATATATTTAATAATCTCCTTTCTTGCCAAATGTAATAATTATTTTATTTAGACTCTAATTATGCCATTAATTAATTTTTTTCAAATTATTTTGTATCAAATTTTATTGAATTTTCAATTATGCAATATCATGCTCAACTATGTATTGATCCACACACTAGTGTTATATAAAGCTAGATGATGATATAATATGATTGAAATAGCTTATATCGATTATATGGTGATAATTTTAATTAACATAATTATTTTTATGATCCAAAAATATAATGCAAGTAATTAATGTTCTGCAGTTGATGTATAAAACTGCCACCCACAGAGACACTCGGTTGTGCTGACGTGTAAAGTAAAACTGCCAATAAGTTGATGTGTTTCAACCAATCCTCATTTTATAGATGAACAAGTAAAATAATAATAAGATGACTGAATAAAAAAGAAGAGAGATTATTTTTAAATTATATACGGTAAACATTTTACACAATCATTTCTAGTCATGACTACATATAAAAGATAAAGAATAAATTAAAAATACAACAACATTGACATTAAATAAAAATAAGTTGTTGCTCTTTGAATTTTTATCTGGTCAAATTCATTTTGACCCATTTAATTATTGAAGCATTTCTTAATTAACTTAAGGTTAGACTTCATGCATGTAAATCTCAATAAAAAAGATCATTTATGCTGACTTACTATAAAAATTATTGTAAAATAGTTTATTCTTGATTAAGATTGCATGCAGTCAGACTATATTAATGTAACATTACCACAATATTTATTGCATTAGGCAGTGTTAAAATGAAATAAAAGTAAAAATTCAAATTTTTATTACAGACTTTGCCCAATAGTTTGTGTAAAGCATGAACAATAAAGTATAAGGAAAATTCTCATTTTATAATATACAATAAGAAATAAATAACAGGACAAAATAACTGTCATTAAAATTATTATATATGTATATTGATTGTCCTGAATTGTTAAGTACTTAAATTCTGTATATTTAAATTAATGAAAATATTAACCCATATCTACAGTATTATATCTGTTTTATGAATATATAAATTTAGTATATAGATAAATGTTATTTTGTAATATTAATAACTGTATGAAGTATTATATGATAATTATTATTTATTACATAATACAATGCATAAATATTTATAAAATTATTCAGCTGTATATAAATATTTAAGTCAGAAAAATGATTATTGGCTAATATCATTATCATTATTTGATATCAAGAATTATCAAAATTTATGAAATTAATTAATTTAATGGCCCAATGCTAACAAACTTTGAAGTTGAAATTGTCAACAAATTTCATTTCTTGTGAGTAATGTTTGTAAATGGTGATTATAACAGCTTATCCATCAATCAGTTTACAATTAGCCTATCTGTTTTTACCTCTGGAGCTTATACTCCAAAAATGACAGTATATGAAAATCCTATAATTTTATATATAGTTAGAATAAGCTATTGAGAAATCAAATTTAAATATTTTATATTATTGATAAATTTTTATTAATTTATTTTATATTTGATAAAAGTATTTTGTACATATTAATAATACTATGTCAATAATAAACTTTTAAAAGAATTTATAGATAAGAGATAAAATCAGAATTTAGTTATTATTATTAATGAAATCAATACATTAAGAAATATAATCTTCATACATGTCATATTTAAGGAGATAAGTCAATACACAAGACGTTTAAAAGGATGGGATTTTAAAAAAGAAAAACAATAATAATGGTGATACATTCTATATATATATATATATATATATATATAAATTAATAAAGAATAACACAATACAATAGAGTAAGGCAGAACTGAACAATATACTATTTAATTTTTTAATTCATTACAAATGAGCTAAACCCCATAACCCCCATGTGTACAGCCTTGGTGACAGAAATGCATTGGTTAACTATATTGAAGCTTATTGATAACATCCTTGTTATTGTGTATAATAATCCCATTCATTTTGATATGATGCAATCTTTCAATTATTAATTAATTTAATGTATAACTGAACTACAAACTAAATTTGTAGAACTTTTAGTTTTACAAATTGATTTTGTATAATTATAATAAAAAATTTAAATCAAAATCATTGTATATAAATAAAAATTTTCTAAGATTTTGAATATTAATATGGCAAGTTTACTTAATTTGTGATTGATAAAT